ACCAGGCGTTCGAGGCGCCACTGGCGGCGGCGACGAAGGGCCCCCCAGAAGGCGAACAGAAAGGGGCGCCGGGCGACGGGCAGCGGCACAGGTGCCCTTGTCCTCCTCGGACCAGACAAGGGCCACGCGGATGCCAGCGGCAATGCATCTGCGCGTTGGCGCGCGCACGAAGAAGGGACTTGGGGCGGGAGGGCGCGAGGCTGCCGGAGCGGCGCGCCCCGGCTCACTCTGCCCCCCCCCCCCCCCCCCCCGCAGGGCCCACAAGGCATGCCTGCGAAGAAGCAGGCCCGCGCAGGACGCTGCGCACAGGCCTTGACCCCAACAAAGACTGCCCTGTCACTCGCCTCTGCGGGTCCGCCGGCGCCACGTGGAAGCCGCATCAGCAAGGGCTGATTCACCCACGAACTCCAGCTGGTCGCGTCGCGCTCGGGACTGGTTGCAGGCGTTCTTCGCCGCGTCGAAGAATCGCCGCGCGGCTGGCTGCCTGCTGTCGCCGGCCGGCTCGACCTTTTCCAGGGCTCGCAGCTGACCGCTCGAAGGGGCCCCCCAATCCCGATCGGACCGCCGCGGCTCTCCTCCGAGAAGCCGCCCTTTTCCGGTCGGCCGAACTCGTTCCACTGCTGCTCCAGCGCGCGCTCCAGGTCAGTGGCGATGGCGGTGCTCGCCATGGCCAGCTGTCGGCTCTTTGCTGCATCCTTCGCGAGGGCGACCGCCCTCGCCGCTGCCTGCGGCGCAGCTCTCGCTGCGGCCTCCGCCGCTAGCGGCTGCTGCGCGAGCTCCGAAGCAGCCGTCTCCGCGAATCCAATCCCCATTGCCCCTCGCGGGGCGCCGCGCCAACATCGCCGAGTGACGATAGGCGCGGGTGATGATTGCGACCTGGAAGATCTGGCCTCTTCGCCCATGACGCCGATCTTCGGTCCCCGGACGACCCGGCCCTCCACGTTACCAGACTGCTGCAGCCCCCCAGGTGTCGTCGGCGCCTGGCCAGGTGGCCTCGCCCCCCCGCGGGCCGAGGGCCCGAGGGCCACGACCGTCGCCTCGCCGGGATTGGCCACCCAGCGCCACAGTTTCTCGACCCGGCCCCCGCACCACTGGCCCAAGCAAGTCAGGCGCCAGGTCCACGCCCACCTGGGCAGCGTGATCCGCCCCGCCCACTGGGCAGCGGAGCGCTGCCGCGATGGCCCCTGCGCCCTCCGCGCGAGAAGCGAGCTGAGTCCTAGACGCGACCGCCCACTTGACCGAGATCCCAGCGCCTGAGTCGATCACCAAACTTTGCCAGCAGAAGAAAGGCCCACGCGTGATCGGGGCGGCAGGAGGCCTTGCTAATCCGCCGCTCTGATCGCCCGCTGCGCCACCCACGGCCTCGAGCGCCCCAGGGTCGACTCCGACCTCTGTCCGAAGACTGCTTGAGCTCTCGTCTGCCTGGCTTCCCCGCGCGGGCCCGACACCTCGAGCCCTCGAGTCGCGCGTCCCCAGCAGCGCTCGCCCCCCAGCGCCTGCGCCCCCCGAAACTGAGAGAACCTCCCCGACTTCCACCGCCGCCGTTCTAAAGATCAAAGGCCCCCCTCTCGAACGGATCCTACCTGATCGCGAGGGCCTTCTCCACCCGATCGCTCACAAAAGCGCAAGGCCCCGAGGGCGCACCGAGCCGCACCCCGTCCCAGCTCACCGTCTCCACTGGCGAGCTGGCCCCATGCCCGAAGAACTCCACCGCCCCCGCGAAACTCTGGAACGAAATCACAATTGCGTTGCTCAGATCCTCGCCTGCGCGATTGATCGCGTCTTCGTCAGTGGCTTCCCCTGCTACACGAGCCTCCAAATTATCAACATCAGGTGATTGGCCGCGAACAGAACCATGGCCACCGACAACGGCCCTGCGACCATGGCGGCATGCCCCGAGGGGACCGAAGGTCCAGCTGGTGGCATGGACTTTGGGCCCAGCAGGGCCCAGCAGCAGCACCTTCACCTTCGGCCCCAGACCGCCGAAGAGCCAGTTGATCGCACGGCACGTTCTCCGAGGCCCCACAACGCCCAAGACCCCCGGCCGACTGGCCAGCGCTCGCGGCCCAGCGTTGCTCCGCTCGCGGGCTTCCCGCGCTGCGTCGAGGTCAATCGCGCCGAACTCGACCACCTCCCCCGCGCGGCGTCAGCGGCCTCGGCCGCTCCTCTTCCTCGGTGCATGATTCGAACCTCCGTGCACCCCGCCGCTTTTCGGGTCCGTTTTCGCCCGCTAGATCTCCCGATTCAGACGACTGCCCTGCCTGTCCGCCATGGAGATCACCCTCGGCGCCTGCGATGTCAGATTCGGGCTCGCAGCCCCCACGGCGCCATCACGATCCGCGCCACAGCGCAGCACTTCGGCCGCACACCTCGCCCTGCAGCCCGCCATGCATGCCGCGGCCTGAGCACTCCTAGCCGTCGCTCGCCACCTCCGGGGTTCTCTTCACCCGGATCGCGAAGCATCACAAGCCTAGGGCTACATCCGCGAACAGCAGCGTCGTCCTCGACGTTGTCCCGTCAGGCCGCTCCAGGGCACGTCGCCACTGCGATTCCGGACGCGACCAGCGCCATCACCCACGGAATTGCCATTCCGATCGGCTCTCCCTCCGACATCGACGGCCTCCAGTTCCAGGTTTTCCCAGCGGCGCCTCTCGTCTCGCCAGGGTGCTCGTCGCCAGCGCAGCCAGCTGCCCGGCAAGTAGCCACTTGCGCCGCCCAAGGGCCCCCCCCCCCTGATCGGCATCGGGGCTCTCGTTGCCGGCGCCCGGCAGAAGCCCCGGCTCGCCGCGGCGACTTCCCCCGCGGCGTTGCCTCTCCAGCGGCTCGGATGCAAGCCGAGCCCTCGGTCCTCCCAGCGGCGGGCCCTATAGTTGTTTCGGCTGCCGATGATCGGATCTGTCCGTGCTCGGCGGTCGTTCCACCAGCCGCTCTGCCAGCGATCGCCCTGTTGGTAGCCTCGCTGCCAGTTGGTCCAGGACTGGACCTCTCGTTCCTTGATCGTGGGCTTCACATGGCTCTCTGGTGTCATTCCATTGCGACGCTCTGGAGATCCTGTGGGCATCGCGCTCCGTCCGTCTTCGGAGCGCGATGAGTTTCTGTTTCTGATGGACACTCGTCAGCACGCGCCCAATCTCGTCGACGAGGCCTTCCAATTGTGGCGAAGGGGGGTGCTGGGCATCTTGCCCCAACGCCCCTTCTGGAGAACTCTCGGGAACTCGCATCCGTCTCCTCGGATGCGCAAGGCCACATTCTCAAGATCTTCCCCTGAGATCTGCGGGTTCTCCCAGCGCTTATCCGCCTTTCCGCTGGCCTCCTGAAGCGCGGCCACCGCGGACACTCCTGGTGGCTCCAACTCGTCAGCGCCGCTCTCGTCACGAAGCCGGTTGAATCCATTGCACAGCCAGGCGCAGCCCTGTGGGAGCAACGATTTTCTTGTCTGGCACTAGAAGCGCACGCTCCAGAAAGTTCAGTGATAGGCCGCCAAGGATGTTCTGGCAAAAAGTTAGTCGCTCGGTTGCAATTGCCGTCGTGGCCGTCCTTCAGCTACGTTCTATCACGACACAGGCTTTTCCTCCCTCTCTCGTAGAAGATATTCATCTGCCACCGTCCAGGTATTCCTCCTCTAGCGCCCTGACGAAGGACTCCCATTCAGGCAGCATGCGATGGCACCCTGGGCACACTCGCACTGCGATCTCCAATCCTGGGCCATGTTGCAGCTCTCTTGGGGCATCTTGAACGGCTTTGAAGGATTTGAGGGGCCCCAAGAGCTGAGGGAGAGAGCTCGGAGGAGCCTCTGGAGAAGGGGTCACCACTTAGGGACCCCAGATGTCCCTAATGGTTTGCGGCCCCACGGTCAACGGTGTGCCCAAAAATCGATGCAATTGTCCACCTAACAATGTGCCCAAACATGTACATTTAAGGTGTGCGAGTAACCAACGAAATGGTGAACGCTCGAACCATCAGTTAATCTGGCTAGAGATCCAGTTATTAACCTCCGAACTACCAGTCTGTCTAGCGACGTAACTAGAGGGGTAGCCAATGAGATCTACCACTGGACACACGCACTGGACAGCCAAACGGAACAACTGCGAGACAGCCCGACAGCAAAGTCCCCACCGAGAGAGGAAATCGAGCGGGGCAGCCAGGGGAGTGCCCGACCGCCAGCGTCCCTGTGGGAAGAGGGAATGTGTGTTGTGTGTGTGTGTGTCTGTGCGTCAAACTTGCCCCTAACAAGAGCATATGATCCTGCTTCGCGTGCGCACTCAGCTTCGCCTCGCCCGAACGTATGACACGACGTGTCGACCCGAATCGAACCGAAACCGAGTTCTCGGCGGGGGGCTCTCTGCTCCACTTCGGCGTCCCCCCCTAAAAAACTCCGAGCAGCATCAGCTTCAGCTCAAGCACTAGAACTAGCACGAAGATCGGTACTGCGCTCATCTTAAGTCGGGCACCTCCTCCTACAGGCAGATTGTGGCAAACATAAATCTGAAGTAGCCAACGAAGACTCCAACATAGTCTGAAGAGCACGGAGAATCGTCCCCAGGCGATTTATTGGTTTACTATTCCCGAGCATTCCTCCTCTGGGGGGACACGCCCGACTGCACGCGAATCGGCATACTGGCACCCCACACCGGTGACAACACATCCGGTGGCACCTGGCCACGGGCCACCGACCCCGTGTGAGGGGCCAGCCCCCCAGCGAAGGATGTGGGATTCCACAGCGCGCTCACGGGGGGGGCGGCCGAGGCGCCCGGGGAAAGGAACGCCCGAACCTACAGGCCTGGGAGAAACTAGCGAACACGCATGCCGCGGTCATCGGTCAACGCCCCCTCCCTCGCCCAGATGTTCAGAGAGTCGGCGGTGGGTCTGATGAGTCGCGCTTCGTGGCACCCACGCTGCACTTCCCCTGGACCCCACAACCGACACTGCTTTAAGAAAATACTCTGCGTATGTCCCATGCCACTGCTGACCGTCCACAGCCCTCCGCCACCCGGCGCTGCCTCCTTCCGCCTGATGTCGTCGGCGAGCTCCCCGCCGCCGAGCAGACGGAGAAACTTCTGCCTGTGCAGCTGGGAGATCAAGCCAGGGCCCCTGCCAATGATGTGGGCGCTGCGAGCGACGCGGGGCACTCCAAGCTGCTGCACGCAAGCCCCACGCCACCCCGCCCGTCGGCCAGTTCTGGCCCCTCCGATGGACACACACGGAAGCCGCCCCCATGGCGCGGTCCACCCCCCCCGTACACCCGATGCCCCGCGAAGAGCAGCCCAGTCCCAACCCATCTACGCGATCCCCACCCCCCCTTCGGTGGCAACTCACTGGAGCCTCCCATCCCATCTTGTTGGTCCTTGCGAATCGGCGCTAATCGACGCTAGTCGACGCTAATCAACGCTAAATCGACTCTAGCCGACGCTAAATCGGCGCTATCTCATCGACTCCTAGACGAAAATCGGCGTTAATCAATGCGAAAGACGGAAGTACGAGGATACACCAGGCTCTCATGATTTGAAACCGAAAACCCCCACGCTCGTGCAACGAATCGGAACAGGGTGATCCCTTCTCAGGTGGGGAGTGTCCTCCCGCATACATGCGTCTCCTCTCGTGCATCGGGCAGGTTCGAAGCATCTGCCATGAACTGTATTCAAGATTCTCACAGATTTCGAAACACATGCTCGAACATCCGCGCCAGAAAGTGGCACTCATGCAACCGGGCTTAATCTCACAGCCCGAAAACCAGAACATCAAGAATGAGAGCACTGGTGCGCGAAACGCAAGCACTGACAGCGAAAGATACAAGAGAGTTCGTGGTTTGGGCCCCAGTACCAGCCCAAATGGCGAGCAAACATCGGGCGTCGCCCTGAAGAACCTGCTAGGGGCGTGCGTGTGTGTGCCACCCGTGTGTTAGGTTGCACGATCCATGGTTAGCTCCCGCTCCCCACCCTTGAGCCCAAGACGGCACCAGGCATGCGGCCCGCGCGCAGCTAAGAAGCGAGGAGGGGGACGCGGGCAGTCTGACTTAGCTTCACCCTTGTGAATCCGAGTTTGCGCCACGCTTCATCCATTGGTTGCACCATTTGTTGCGCACTCGGCAGCCGAGAACAAAACGGCCTGCTGTTGATTGCGACTGGGCTGCGCACTCAGCAGCCGATACTACAACGGCCTGCTATTGTGAAGGGGTCCAGGGACACACAAATAGATACACACACACACAAATCCCGAGATCCCCTGTATTCTAGATGTTCTTACATTTTCTAGATTTTCGTCTTCCCCCCCGCTTCCCATCTTTTCACACATTTTCTTGGGGATCGACGATTAATGGTCTGTGTGTCTGTTCTCTCCCGTCCTGATTCTGGTTGCGCCACAGGCTGCGCACTGTGAGGCCCGACGTTCAGTCGGCCGGTGTCGCCTAGCAGGTGCGGCCAGTCAGCCAATCAGTCGGCCGATCAGTCAGTCCAGTGCCGCTCGCGAGAAACAAATTCGGGCGACGCTCAGAGATAGCCCAGAACTTCCCGAAGCCGGGAACACCTGAGCCAAGCAAGCCTCAGCGGCCACGGGCAACAGGAACAGCCAGGAACAGCCTGCGCACCCGAACCGAGCAAGTCCGTGGCGGCCACCTGCAACAAGAGCAGACAGCAACAGCCTCTGGCGCCCGGCCAAAGCGATGACCCGACGGCCACGGGCAGCAGGAAGAGCTGAGAGCAGCACGACACACGTAGGCGGTGCGCAGATACTTGGCAGCGCGCACAAGGGGGTAGGGGGTAGGGGGAGGGGGGAAGGCTTCTTGGAAGGAGGCTGCTCCTTAGAAGGCGCGGGCCCTACACCTATAGAGAAGGCCCGCGCCTTCCAAGAAGCAGGGGTGCTTCTAAGAAGCCTTCCCCCCTACCCCATACCCCCCTCTGCGCGTGGCTGACGGTTTTCGGGCCATAACTCGGGCCTCCGGCGGCCGTTCGGGACGATCGAGGCACCCCTGGAACGACCTCGGCGAGGCGCAACCGCTGGAGAGCACCCCGAGGCTGGATTGCCGACGAGAACCGACGACAGCGCCCGAACACCTCGAAACAACAAACCTCGAACCTTGAACTTCGAAACCTCGAACCGACCTGGAACCCCTGGAACGACCTCGGCGAGGCGCAACCGCTGGAGAGCACCCCGAGACTGGATTGCCGACGAGAACGCCCGAAAACCTCGAAACAACGAACCTCGAACCTTGAACTTCGAAACCTCGAACCCCTTACCCCGCTCTGCGCGCGGCCGGGTCATGTGCTGGAGATCGGGCCGCGAGCGCCTGGTCTTGGACGCGTCGAACGCGTGCTCCCAGCCGTTCGCCGTCGGGCGGTCCCGGCCGCTCTCCAGGTCGACGAAGCAGTCGGGGCCTGCGCCGGCAAGGCCCACAGGAAGAGGCGACGGGGGGAGAGGGAAGGCGGGGGACATGGTGAAGGCACTCCCCTGGGAGGCGAAGGAGGACAACAGGAGAAAGGAGGAGGAGGAGGAGGAGGAGGAGGC